AAAGAAAATGGGTGTCAATTTTATACAAGTTTTCAAATTTAACCTCACTTTTTTTTACCAAATCTAACTTTAACTCAATTCCACTATCCTCAATATTATCAATATAATTAAATAATACCACTCAATCATTCTTACACATTACATCAACTTTAATTACTATTCATCCACTTACATAATTTTAACTAACTATCACTTCACATCACCCTTCTCCTACTTTTCTCCTACGTTTACATCAAATCATTTTAATTATTTTATTTTAAATATTATTTAATTATAAACTCAAATCCCACTAACAACTAATTAGACAACTTTTTTCAAAATTAACCATATCAAATCAAAAAATCCAAACAAAATCAAATATCATATACTCAAGCATCCCCATAGTATATGGCTTACCTTTACCGCGCAAGTGTTGGCTAAGGTTACCATTTTCGATATACTCGTAAACCAGAAACAACGAACCTTCCACACAGTATCCTATCAAGCGCACCTATATTTACAAAACCACGAAAAACATTTAATGTAAGTTAAAATTCAAGAATAGTACAAATTTAACCAAAGGAGGAGTTTATTGTTTTTAGCTACCAAGTTCACGTGATGAACGTGCGTTAAGACCTTAAGCTCAGCCAGGAACTCCTTCGAAGCTTCCATGTCCATCTTTTTTATAGCGGCTTTCTGAATATGGGAGAAAAAAAAATATAAACAAAATAAAAATATACTGTATGATCGAAAGTACTAATAATGGTTTATAGCATAATTAGCACAAACCTCGCCTCTTAGCTCCCCATAGTAAACAGCTCCAAAACCACCTTGCCCGATTTTAAAAGATATACTAAAATTGTCTGTGGCCTCGGCTAGTTCTTCATACATGAACTCCACAGATTTATCCACGGTGATACCTTTAAGTGGCGAGGAGCTACCGAAAAACGATCCTGATTCTGAAATTTTTTCGGTCATATAAAGACCTACATTTAGAAAAGATGAAGAAATTTAATGAAACTTCAATGCTCTTGCACAAGTCG